TTTAGGAGCATACCCTAGGTGAGAGTCCATCCGTTTAGTTCTCAGTGTAGACCTCCTAGACTTTAGGTGCACACTCTAGGTGAGAACCCATCCACCTAGTTCTCAGCATAGACTTCTTAGATTTTAGGAGCACACCCTAGGTGAGCGTTCATCCACATAATTTTTGAATAAATAATAAAACTTGACGTTTGACCTTGATTCACAAACTGATTAAGACACTAGACATGAGAATGCACCGAAGCGTAGTTTGTGCTTCCTTAAGTAGATCAACAGTGAAATTCCCGCAATGACTTAACATACAATGACACTCAGTGCATCGGGATTTGAGCTTGAATATTACACTCAAATCCTTCTGACAATTAGATAAATTTGTTAATGTTACATATGGATCATCGGACTAGGATGAGTTTAGGATCTAGGTGGCGAGGGCGATGACGACATTGTTTATGTGTGCTTAAACGAGGTTATTAGAATATTATCTCCTACCTCAATGACCTTCTATAAGAGAGAGGAAAAGATCGATGATGTTATTCATCGACCCTTGGTGGGATTGTTGCCCCGATGCTCTTAGGTTGTCAGTAGTTCTAGCACGATTAAAGTGACTAACCTGTGGACTACACGATTTTACAAAAGTATTTACGAAAATAAAACAAAATCCTATTTGCATGTTAAAAAGAATTCTGCATAAAAAATACTTAAACAACAGCTTTTGCATGAAAATTAAATAATTTTTCTATGAAAATTTATAAAGATCTACGGCTAGTCACTTGGATTGAGATTAAGGACTGTCATCCGTAGATTGTCGAGATTCCGTAGATTGTCGAGTTGGCAACTCTTACTCAAGGTCGGGCAGCACACAATCCAGCTTCTTACTAATGTCTTATACCCAGTCTTGATCTGTCATATGTGGTTACAGGTTTCTTTTGCTTGTGATTTCTACTACTCGTTTTTATGGCTTTTATGCAGGGTTTTCTTGCCTTATTTATTTTTCTTGCAAGTATGTTTAAATATGCTACAAATCATATTACGATCAGAATATTAATCGCACAACAGTAACAGATGCCCAGGTACACTTTTACAGTTTATTTACAACATTTTACTTTACTGTATTTTTACATTTTTATCTTTCAAGTAACTTTTATTTACCTGCAATTTGACTACTCTGCATGCAAAATCAAAACCGAAACAAAACAAAACCAAACTCCGAAACAAAACAAAACCAACCGAAACAAAACAAAACCAAACTTTGACACCAAAACTGTGAAACATAAACTCTCAAACTCAAACACTTAAACCCTGGAGTCATCGCGACGACAGGAGCTTGGAGTCAACTTTGTGGCCAACACGACGAGGAGCTTGGAGTGAGCAACAAGAGAATCTTCTTCAGCATTATCCTTTCCTAGTATAATAACAACGCATAGGACTTCGAGGTAGCTCGCATAGCGCGACGTAAATCCTCACACTCCCTTTTTAGGCTCTTGTACAACCATGTTGTGCAGCGTAAGTCCTAACACGCCTTAGGTTCCGAGGTTGTCTTGTGACACGACATAATCCGTCTTATTTTTGCGGGTTATTTGCATAATCGGGTATTATGCAAATATAAGTCCCAAATAATAAAATTTGCAGGATTGAACAATTGAATAACGTCATCTTTAAAAATGCAGCCACACAGTAGGATAGTTTAGGAAATCACTGAGGGTTCTCCTTAGGATCTATGATATCCCCTACTTGTTCCTTTCTTTGGACTCCTAGAATAACTGTTCATATTTGAGCCACTCTCATTTGCCTTTCCACGTCCTACCGTAAAAACCTAAACTTTGAAATCTTGAAGACCAATACCTCTGATCATTATTGAGAGTTTTCTCAAGTGACTCCAGTCATTTGAGATGTATATAACTATAGGGGTTTGCCTTTATAGGGAACTTGGACCCCAGGTAAAATAAACTCTATTTAATCTTTGTATTAGATAGGGGAACTTGTCGGTCATACATAAAAAGGTTCGTAGACCAAATAGATGTCGCAAATCTCTTAGTTTGCAGGATTGGGTCTATCGCCGAGATCTACACTTATCTTTCGGGAGAGTGTAGTATTCGCGGTATCAGACACGATTATGCAAACTATTGGACTAATGAGATCCATTTGGTCTCATTTTTCAAAAATTAAAACATACTACTTTTAAAACTCAAACTGTATATCTATTATATTAAATTAAATCTCAAAAATTATTTTTCTTATATATATTTTATATTCATATTTTCAAATCCATCGAAAAAGTTGACCGACAGACATTTACATACATACCACCCATTTTCTATATATTTACATATTTAACTCCTAATTTTTTGTATTTTAAATTTATATCACCCAAATCTTTCATATTGCTCGTCCTTGCTCTGCCTCACTCCGACGCTCCACTTGGGTTGCTCCCCTCTAGCTCGCGTGCTTAGGACTCCCTCTGCTCGGCCTCATCCTAACGCTCCGCTCAACCTCACTATCATACCCGCACGTTGAATTCTTTTTATTGCTATTAAACTTATAATGATTTATGTTTGATTAATTTTTACCTATAAATGTCTTTTTATTGGATTACTTATGGAGTTGACATACTCAAATTTGAGCCTATTTAAACTTCTATGGAGGTTTATCAGGTGATTTGAATCAAGGGCCGAAATATATATTTTGTTATCTAAACAGTGAAGTGTGACTGACATTAAATTTATTGATGTAATAGATTTGCTTCTCCTCAAAAGAAAGGCTGGTTCCGACTTCCGTCACTGCTGGAATTTCTTCATTAGTTGTGTTTCCTTGGTTACTTGGTGAGCCCATAAAAATCTTTTAGGTCCTCCTTTCTTTTCCTTTTTTTTGTTAAATGTCAGGTTCAATTCTTAGTCGATATATGGTAGGAACTTATCAGTCGAAGGAATCTGGGAATTACTGAGAATGGAGTGTCCTGTCTTAATTTTCCGGACCTTTCTAATATAATTCATATAGGTCAGTTCCATGAAAAACAAGAGCTAATCTAATGGCTTGATTTGTTTTTCTTCTCTATTTTCATTGTTAAGATTTGAAAACATTTTGGGGCATTTACACATATACCACCCAATTCCTATGTATTTACATTTCTAAGGCTTCAACTTTACTTCCTTACATTTTTAGCACCAATTCTTTTATTTCTCTTGAAAAACACCACTATTTTGACTTCAAAACATGAAATACATCTTTTCATGTATAGGCGAGATGACATATATGTGGCAATTGAAGTTTTGATTTTAGATATTTAAATACATATGAATTGAGCAGTATGTATCTAAATCTTTCAAAAAAATTTCTTGTTGTAAGATTTTTTACATTCAGTTTCTCTAATTCTCTTTTATGCATATATTTAATCTCATTATTTTCAAATTCTAACCACATAAAACTCTCAGAAATGATATATACTAGATTCATTCTTACCTCAGATTCCTGGTCCTCCCTTCAAGCCTAAATCAATTGAGAAGCAGAAGTCATTGGCCCTCTGGGCGCTGAAACTACCCTCAGCTGATGCCATCGTCGTTCGTCGAACACTTGCCGCTCTGACAGAGAACCCGGAAGGTCTTCAAGGCGCCGACGAAACCGACGAGCACGCTGTGAAGAGAAGGCAACTATGGCTGACCATCAAACCTGCCCACTTCGGCGTAAAGATCGGATCGAAGTCCCCGTGGAGCATCCTAAGGTTCATGATAACCGGTTTATTCATCGGTCTGCTCGGAATGTTTGCATTTGGGAGGAAGCTTCTGCTGAAATTCCCAGCCTTCTTCTCCCTAGGAGGGTTTAGCAACAGAGGACCGACAGAAGAAGAAGTCGACAGTGCTAGTTTTAAGATGTGGTTTGTAGGAGAAGGATACAGTGATGTTAGACTTGCAGCAGAGGGGAAAGCGAAGCCTGATACTGAGATAATCACAAGAGTTTCAGGCCCTGAGATTGGATATGTCACCACCCCCATCATACTGATTCAGTGTGCTTTTATTGTGTTGAGCCAGAGGCACAACTTGCCAAAGGGGGGAGTTTATCCACCTGGAATCATCTTCGGCACGACGAACCTGCAAGAACGTCTTGAGGCGAATGGGGTGTGTTTCGACTTCGTGTCGAAGCGATCTCTGCGGCCGTAAGTATTTTGGTGTTTGCTTTTAGATTTGTCAATTATGTTGAAGCTTTGTGCTTCAATTGCCAAAGGATTGAAGTTATGTGCCAAGGTGTTAAAAGCCTTGTGGAATAAATCCTTGTTCTTTTGTTGCTTTTGGGTTGGGAAAGTGAAAGTTAATCAGTTTTTGTTTATTTGCTTGAGAATGATTAAGGTTGAAGTGATGCTTTTGAAAATCAAGATTTTTATGTGGTTCAGCCAATCCTGATTCATTTGTGGAATGATTCGTCAGGTGTAAGTCTTTAAAACTTTTTAATAAGGTTTATGTACTCTATTTAGGGTACATTTGTTTTAGTTGTGTTTGTATAAAATTTCAGTTCAAAAATTGCTATGAAAAATCGATCGTTTAAAAGCTGGTAACGCAGAACTCGTTGTCCTGATTCATTTGTGGAATGATTCGTCGGGTGTAAGACTTTAAAACTTTTTAATAAGGTTTATGTACTCTATTTAGGGTACATTTGTTTTAGTTGTGGTTGTATAAAATTTCAGTTCAAAAATTATTATGATTATGAAAAATTGATTGTTTAAAAGCTGGTAACGTAGAACCCGTTGTTCTGTTTGAAGATCTAACCTAAATATATTTAAACATATATGTTGTATAAAATTTCAGTTCAAAAATTATTATGAAAAATTTGTTGTTTAAAAGATGGTAATGCAGAGCCCGTTGTTCTCTTTGAAGATCTAACCTAAATATATTTAAACATATATTAAGACATAAGGTGTGATTTTCTAAAATGAAGAAAATGTAAATTATAATTATTGGAACAAAGTGTTTTGATTAAAAATGACAAAAAAACAAAATTTAAAATAAAAATTTGAAGTTATTTTATAATATGGATTTTGCCTTAATAACTTAGTAAAACCTATAAATTTGAATTTGCTAAATTTTGTCAAAAGTATGATTTATGAAATATGGGATTTAAGTAAAAATTGAGAAAGAACTGAAGTTATTAAATTTTGAATTTAAAATTATTTAAATTTGCCAATTTTTAAATCTTTTTTTTAAATTCATTATCATACAAGTAGGGGTGTAAGTGAGCAGCTAACTCGTGAGTTGGCTTAGGCTCGACTCCATAAGTGGCCCTTGAATTGAGCTTGATGAGTTAATAAGTTAAGGTCAAGCCACCCCAAGTGACTCATTAGTTAGTGAGCTAGTTCACTTAAAATATAATTAAATATAACATAAAAGATTTTATCCTTAATTTTTTAAAAATGTTTAAAATATAATATTATATAATCTATATTAAATGTTTTTTTAATTAGTTATCTCTTAATTTTTCATTTAATTTGTCATTTATTATAATATTAGTTTGAATTAAAATTATTTTCTCTTTTTTATACTAATCAAGCCAACTTGGCAGTTCATGAGCCTGCTCGAACTCATAAAATAAAACTTGAGTATAATTAATCAAGCTCAAACAGAGGACAATTTAAACCCGACTCTACTCGTTTAAATGTACGTTTCTACTCGATTTTCACCATAGCCAATATCTATGCTTTCGAGTTTATAATTGCTTTCTCCATCACAAAAATAAGGCTCTTTATTGCTTTTGAAAAGTGAATTAGTTATAATTCAATACTCATATTAGTATTTTTTTTTTTTTAAATGATTGTCTATGAATTCTAGGCATAACATCCTGCATCTAGCAGTCATACTTTTTTTAACTAGTTTACACTTGTTAGTTATTTAATGTCATGCTTTTTTTAACTAGTTTATACTTGTTAGTTATTTAATTTATTAATTT